CCCCAGGGGACCAGCTCCCACCTGCACTGAGGCCACCACGCCTGATCCCAGCCTGATCCCAAACCTCCCCACCTCTGTCCTGGACACTTCTGCTGGATCTCAGAGCCCAAGTGTCTGGGCAGGTTTCCCAGCAGTTAGGAAGCACTTTCCCATGTGCCTTTAGGTGCTTTGGTGCCTGGGAATTTGGGCCAAAGCAAGATCTCATCCCAAAGGACGAGGTCTTCCTCATCCCCCCCCCGCCATGCCATGGCAGCAGGGAGCCCATCGCTCTCCTGCCAAGAGTTCTCAGTAGAGGAAAATGGGGAAAACCACTTCAGATGAGTGTCCTGCTCCACGGCCCAGCTGGCTGAGGGTGATGACACTTCCTAGGCTGCCTTGTGACCCAGCCCCAGCTGGCCCCAGGCCTGTGGCTGTTGGCAGGCCCAGAGAGAAGGGCAAAGAGCACTGCAATCCCAGCAAGAGCCTGAGCTTGGGTAGGAGCTTGAAAAACAGTGGAGTCAAGGGGGGGAAGATCCCACTTCTCCTGCTGGGTCCACCCAGGAGCTCAGAGGCTCCTGAAGGTGCTGTGGTTCTGGGCTGAGGGATGCTCCTGCTGTTCCTGAGCTGGTTTATCTCCTAAGGCTCAGGACAGGAAAAAAAAAGACCCATTGCTGAACCCCAGCACTGTCCACAGAGCCACCCACAGCCCCTGCTTAACCCTGGGCTCTGCCCCTGCTGCGCCCCAGCCTCCTGCCCTCCCATTTTTTAGCCATTTCCAGCCCAGTTTGGTCTAATTTCTGTAGTTCTGCAGCCTCACGTGTGCGTTCAAAGCCCTCAGCAACACAAAATGCAGCTCGCCCTGGTGGGATGCTCCTCGGGATGCTGTAGGGTGGGAAGGGCAGGGCTGGGGGGACACCCTGCTGCTGGCACCCAGGCACAGGGGGTGGAGTGAGAGACCCCACCTACGAGGGCTCTTGCTCCCAGAAGATTCCTCCAGTTTTTACCTTCCTGCCACATGTTTCAAAGCGTTTGAAGAAAGAGCTGGTGGTCCAAGTGAAGTGGACAAAGTGAGGACCCCCAAGGACCCCCCAAGGCAGAACCAGGTGACCTCCATCCATCCAGCAGCCTCAGCCAAGGTGCTGTGGTTCAACGTGTCATGGAATCATTAAGGCCTTGGAGAACATCTCTAAGCTCATCAAGTCCAACCATCAACCCAACACTCCCATGACCACTAAACCACATCCCCAAGTGCCACATCTACACGTTTTTGGAACCCCTCAGGGCTGGGGACTCCAGCACCTCCCTGGGCAGCCTGGGCCAA